AGTGTCAAATATTTAAATTACTTCCATGCACGTTTACTTCAACTGAAACGTATACCAAATTCCTACAAACATAAAATTCACAAAATAACTGTCATTTAATTAAAATATCACTAAACCATGTACATGTCGACTTATTTTTACTTAAAAAGACATCCCAGAATTGCACAAAAATGGCATTGCGCACACTCTTCGCTATATCCATGTACACTGTTTTTTTCTCATAAATTAGAAAAATTTCACGAAAATGCATGAAAATACTCAAGTGTATTCCAAAATACTACAAACATATAACTCACAAAATCACGATCATTAAATTAAAATATAATTAAATTAAAAAACACTACTTAAAATATAAATAAGCACATACATTAAATTAATAAAAATTAGATTGCAATCCTAATTACTTTAAATTAAATCATTGCTAATAACAATTTTCCAATAATATCATATTAATTTATTTACTCCTTGCATTTAGAACAATGCATAAAAATAATATCCTCAAATGATTAAAAATACTAACTTACCTAATCTTCAGAATCTTCATTACGTGGCACGCACACTTCCACTATTTCACACAACACACAATGAAGCTTAATACAAAAGAATATAGTACTACAGTTTTCCAAATTCCCCCCCTTTTTCGATTAAAGAACTGTAATTTGTCCATTAATGTCACATGACATATCTCATGATCTCTCATTTCCCTCACACCAAATAATGCGTAATGGGAACTGAGTACTCCTCACATTATTACCAAAGTCCTAGGTAGTAACCTTTATTGCCTCCAAAATGTCGCCAAACTAACAGTTACCATATTCCAAAGATCAGCCCATATTTTCTCTCTACCAGTTTTCAGGAAGTAAAATTAGTAGAAAAAAGGGGGGAATGCATGAATAAATATGATATATTTAATTCTTATCTTCTTGCATTATTTTTATTTATTGTTTGTTTTGTAAATCTGAATGCAATTTTATATGACCAAAATGCAAAATACTTGCTGTCATTTACCAGTTAAGTATACATATTTTAAAAACTTCTAGAATTCTGATTTTGCATTTATGAAATTGCATCTTGCAGTTTTAATTTTGCAATTTTTTGTTATTTGGAAGCTAATTGCACAAATTATATATATATAATCAGGATGCATATATATATGCATCTTGGTTGTTATGAAAAAAAGGATACTGTATCAGGTAAAAAGAGATACAAAATGAAATAAATGAGAATAATTCTACCTGTGACTATAACTATTTATAAAATATCGTATCTAAATTGATTAACTTGGTATTTTTTAATTTTTTTCATGAGGATTTAAATGTACAGGAAGCCTGCTATAATGACCACATCTAAGAATTACCAAAATTTCTGGTAACGTAATAAAAATTCAGTATTAATGATTATAATGTTACTTTCTAAGAATGCAGCTGAACTCTGGTAATTTAACCCATATTTAAAATTCTGGCAGTTTAATTGGCTTCAAGGGTGTTTTTCCTCATGTATAACATGAGTACAAGACTTTTTCTTAGAAAGTCCTCCATGAAGACATCTTCTCCTTGGGCTGATAGTCCTAATGTGCGTGTTCTAATCCAATCAACCCAATTGAGATTATCAAATATGTATTAAGACAATTATCAAAATATCTGGTTTTTCTAACAAAGTGAAATATTATATGTTTGTAATGAATCAGAGCTACATTTATAATTCCCACTATAATGGCAAAATGTTTTTTCTGAAAAATAGTAGTAATTCCTTTTCAAATCATTAATTTTATCCTTTCTCGTTGGGGTCTAATTTACATTAGTTCAGCAGTTATATAGCATTCTTTAAATGATTCTTCACATTTTAAAATTATTTATAGTAGTTTTTAATCTTATCTTTGTTACAAATATATTTTATATTTGTGATTATATTTCCCATTATATTTTTGCAACCTGTGTGGCAACACTTTTTTTTTTTTTTTTTTACTTTTTTCTTTCTGGCACCAATTGCAGCAATTGTCACTATAGTTTCTTTACCATGTATATTTTTACCATGTTCTTTCTATGTGCTTAATAAATATGTGTTAATACAGATGACTGTTTTTTACTTTTGTCTCCATTACCTTTAGACTCTAACAGTCCATGGGCCTAGGTTGCTCTAACTGTGCAGAAAAAAAATTTAGAAGCAAAGTAGATATAAAAGTTAGCGGCAGTTTTTAAACCTAACATGGCAGTTTTTAAGCTTTGTGTAAGTCCGCAGATTAGTTTGAAAAAATTAGAGCTGCAAAGATATCAGTTAAGCCATTATGCTTAAAAATGGATGCTTAAAAAGTGATTGGCCTATTTGGAAATGTAGAATTAAGTTCATATTAAGTTATCAAGAAGACGCTTTAAAAGTCGTGGAAGGAAAATTAAAAAAGCCAGTAGAGGCATTATGAAGCTGCCACCGAAGAGGTACAGAGATAACATGAAGGTTTTTAATAAACTGAATAATTGTGCTATGATGGTTCTTACAAATTCTATGACTGAAGATACTTTACTAAATGTAATGAAATTTGATGGCACAAGAGAAATTTGTCTTGACCTTTGCAAAATATTCAAAGATTTGTCCAATAAACTACTTTACAACATATGTTTACAGTTCTTCAAATTCATTTGGGCAGATGATGGTATAGCAGCTCATTTATCAAAATTGAAACATTTATGGAATGAACTGAACAGTTGAAAATAAGGAAGAAAGCAGACTCCCAGAGAAATTTGTTAAATATTGGTTAATCTTCTTATCGTACTTTCAAATCAAGTTGGTTACTTCTTAGTGATGAAAAGAAAACTCTAGATGAATTAACCACACAATTGTGCACCCATGAAAAAGAAAAGGTATAAATTTTGTAGAACATTGATAGCAAATTTGAAATTTGAGTAGAAATCTGACTCTAACAAGAAAAACAACAAGTGTAATTATTGCCAACAACGAGTGTAATTACACTGGGTCAGAATGTGCAAGAAGTGGATAGCTCATGGAAAAGCACCAAAACCTAGTCTACATACAGGGCCAAATAAAGCAAATGAGAATAATGTTGCTGCTAATAGGACACTCTTAGCTGTAGATGAGGCACTATTTTCTGCTGAAACCAAACAAAAAAATTGGGTAATTGAATATAGAAACTCGAAACACGCCGTCAGTAAGTCACTACTTTACAGACTGAAAAATTTGAACTTCCCCATAGCATCAGTGTATCAAATTTAAAGTCATTACCAGCGACTAGAAAAGACACTATTAACCCCTTCGCAACTGCATGTTGCTGAACTGAAAACCCTCTGCAGACGGGTGGGTCATATATGCATCAGTCCCAAATGTCGCTAGCAGCTGAGTGATACATTGGTGCAGCACACTGTCTCCAAGGTGAGTTGTGCTAAGCGGCATGCCGACTCTTAAGAGGATTAGCTGCTGATGCATATATAAACCTGTCCTGAAAGGGTTGAGGTAATGACCACTGTAAATGGAATGAATCAAATCTGAAATCTTGAAAATGTCCCACAAATAAGTAAATATCTATTTTCTGTGTTAGCAGCTCAAGACAGAAACTTGAACAGTGTGTTTGAATCAACATTTAAGGACTACTATTTTAAAATACGGTGAATAATTCGATGGCGAAATAGTTCTGCAGGGTGCAAGAAATTCTAGCGGGGGTCTCTTCTAAGACATAATGAAGGTCTTAGTTTCTGAAACTCACACTGACATAAATGTGACTGAGAATAATGAAACAACTCTTCAACCTTATCATGAATGATGGGATCACCAAGATGAAAGGCATGTAAAGGCAATTCTCGAGAAAGATTTGAATATGAAGATTAAGTCTGATATGAAATTATGTGAAGTCTGCACATATAGAAAGAAAGCACACCGTTTAAAGTTTGGCGACAGAAAAGAAGTTACAAAAGGTGGAGAATTGTTCTCAACAGATATTTGTGGGCCATTTGATGAATCATTTAAGGTATGTCGATACTTCACAATCTTCAGAGATGCTTACCAAGTTTCGATACTGTTTTTTTTCTTAAAATGCAAATCAGAAGTAAAAGGCATGCTTGAAAATTCCATAATTCATTCTAAGAACTTAGGGCATAAAGTTAAATGAATCTTCACTGGCAATGGTGGAGAGTTTGATAACCAAGCACTTCGAAAGGTCTTGAACAAGCATGGAATCATCCTCTGTCACTATGTATCAAATTGACAATTCCCTACCCCAATTTTTTAAAATTTTTTTCTTAAGTGCTGTTTTTAAATACTTATTGCAGGAAATTGGGGGAGAACATTTTATCATCATACCAGTCTGAGGTCAAACAGTTCTCTCTCTGAGATCATCTGAAGGAAAATTTTCCTTTGATTAAAAACCTCTTATCTGTGGGTTAACCTTTTGACTGTCATCAACAATCTCAGTTTTCATTCCAGTTACACACCACAGTGGGCTCAAACGAATATGCATTACAGATTTATGACTGGCAGATATTGTGCTTATTTGGAAAGAAAGAATTGCTTAATCTCGTAACCAAGGCTCAGACTCAAAAATAAAAAAAGTAAAACTGTACTCTTCCAGTTGTATCGGGATCACATTCAGAAGTGTATATATGTATGTATATATGCATACAAACATAATACATGCAATAATATTGCATAAACACAATATATACATTTCTGAATCTGGTCCCAATAACAGAAGAGTACTAAATAAACTTAAGAATTCGGTACTAAAGTTTGCAGGCAAGCATCAATATGAATAAAATTGACAAGATTTTGTATGTATCTTTAGTAAAATAAATCTCGTAATGAAATAGATTCTTGTAAAAAGTGAAGAAGTGAGAAAATGAAATTTGATCTTATTTTAATTCCAGTTTGATAAAATAAACATAATTATAAAATACTGCAGTGCACTGTTAAAATATGTATATCTTTGTTCATAAATATTTTCTTTAATAATTATCCTTCAGGTCATAAAAATTTATAAATGAAGTAATTTGTTTCAGGTTGTAACATCATTCGATTTCATTATACTTTAAGCACAAATGAAGAACATGTCTAACTACTGTCTAACTTGCTACTGTGGCCAAGATGGAGAGTAAGTTTTTTCTCTCTCTCTCTCTCTCTTTTTTTTTTTTTTTTAATTAAACTAGCTTACTGAATTATATAAAAAATTTAACAGCATTATTAATTTTAAAAAATACTAAAAACAGAATGCCCAATGAAATGAAATGTTTTAAGGTTTAGAGTGTGAAAAAACATCTTTATTCATATATTGAATATGTTTGTAATATAAATTAGCTCTATATAATTTTAATAATCTATTATTTATTTGCTTAACTGTTAATAATTATATATAGTACAAGTTAAAAATTTGGACTACCAGCAAAAAAATTTTCTTTTTAAACATTTTTTTTACTTCCTCAAGAAAAAAAAAGATGTGCAGTAAAAGTGATTTTTCTTGAAAGTGAACTGAGATTTCTGCATGTCACTTTCAAATACCTGCTGGCTAGGAAGTCATATAGTGGCTAATGATCCTTCATTGATAGATGTGTTGATACCACGACCACACTTTCAGTCCTTTAGTGATTGTGGCAGGGGACAAAATTTTTTTTTTGTCTGAGCTAAATAAGTGAAACCCCAAGACATTTATTTGTAGTAGTATGTTGCTCATACTCATTTTCTTTTGGCATTGCAGTGAGGAAGGGAGAAAGATTCCAAGGATCTTCAGGTAATACAGCAAATCGTGCTCTCTCCTTAACTTTTTGATTTGCAGCAACTTATTATTTTGTTCTGTCAGTTATTGTTAATCTTATCAAAATTACAGTTTTAGTGAAGATGGAAACTGCGTTTTGCTCATTTCCCAAAACGATACACTTGTCAAGCAACTAGTGGTTGCTGAAGTTTTGCATGCACTGAAATACAAATATGAAGTAGCTTTTTAAAAACTGATGCAGCAGTAAGACTATCCAAGAATTTAAGTAGTATTATAATAAAATTTTAGAGTGTGATCTGCATGATCATGAGAAAACAAGTTTGTAGATATTTTTTAAATGCTTGCCACCATCTACCAAATGATGAACTTTGAAGGTTTTTGGATATCATAAGTAAAGTGTAAAATTTTCTGATTAATGGGATATGAGAAGAAATGCTAAATAAAGATGATATAAACTGAATTTTTTTGTGTGATAACAATACTTCAATCATTAATGTCAATGGATTGGTAAATATTTGTGCACTAATAAAATACGGTGAATAGTTTTATAAAAAATTGAGCATTTATTATGAAAGAATGGTATGTTATGTTTTATTCAAAGTATTGTCTATCACTAGCAACTGCTTTTCTCATCTTTCTGGCAGTGTATGGATACCGTGTCGGAAGAATGCTTCATCTTTCGAAGCTATCTACATATCAACCCAATTTTTTATATTTTCATATGATGTGAAACACTGCTTAGACATCATCAATCAAAACAAGTAATATGTCTGGTGAATAGAGCAGGATGGGGAAAACTTTTCATTTGAATTTTTGAAAGTAAGTTTTCGCCAGTGCCTCAACATGTAGATGAGCGTTACCTTTTTTTTTTTTTTTTTTTTTTTTTAAATAGTGCTTGGCTTGTCATCAGTTGTGCACTGTAGAGAGCCTCAGTAATGGTTTTGTTCTGTCTGAGCAACTCATAAGACCACCAAGTTGATCTCATCATATACACAACATGATTTTTTTGCTATGAATATTTGGTTTGGCTGTCGATGTTGAAGGATGGCCAGGTGGTCCTGATGATTTCTTCTTTAGGGTGTCATGGTAGATTTATTTTTTATCACCAGTGACTTTCTTAGGGAAAACCCTTTAATTTGTGTCTGACAAGCAGCATTTCACGTATAAAAAATCAGCATTCGTTTCTCGGCTTCAGTTGATTATGAAAGACAATTTCCTTGCTTTTAATGATTTTAAAATTATGTGAAACTACTTTTTGAGTCACTCCTAATGTTAGCACAAGTTCTACCTGCGTTTGGCACTAATCTATGTATCTACTACATTAATGTACATACTATCATATGTAGTAGTATGTAGTGATTAGATAGTATGTATCATATGATGTAGTAATTAGATAGTTGTATCATATGTAGTAGTAATGTAGTGATTAGATAGTAAGTATAATACAGTCAAAAGTCGTTAATTCGGACACCCATAATCTGGAATCATCTATAATCCGGACCTCAAAGCTACAAACTTTCTGCGCATGTGTTCGCAGAAAGTATGTTTCGAAATCCGAAATCTGTTTATCAATTTCACGCTGCTCTGTGGCAGGGGGGGGGGGAATGCCGCGGCGCGCAATGAATTGGAAGTTGATCTGTCAGCACTATCCTTATCTTCAGGGCAGATGTTTTTATTTTATTTGGCTTATAATTCCTTACTAAATGTAGTATTTCATCTTGATGTACTCCGTCTTTGATATGATTTAAATCAAGTTCCTCGTCATTATAATTCACTTTCGACAGTGAAGAAAGTGACACAGACGTTAGTGAAAACGAAAAAATTTCGATTGACAAATTAGTTGGTATTCTCGACACAGCAATTATAGGACTTGAACAGCGGAACTTTGTAACTAAAGAAATTATGTCTGTTTAATAAAATTAAAGGGAAAGTATTATCACATGAAACGAAGCAACTTAAACAACTTACATTGAAAGAAATGTTTAATAAAGCAAACAAATAAATATTAAGCTTTTTCTTTTTGTAAATTTTGATACCCTTCAGATCATAATTGTTCTTTATTTCTAAAATTACAGCTTCATATTTTTAATTTTGCACTTTCTGCATGCCATGTTACCAGATTTAAAGTGATGATCTATAATCTGGAAAAATCGATAATCCGGAATCGCCGAAGTCCCAACGAGTCCAGATTAACGACTTTTGACTGTAATGTACATACAGTAGTGGCCAAAATTGTGGACCCTTTTGGAAATTTTTATGTTTTTGAACTTTGTATACTTATAAAAAACATTACGTTTCACAAAAAACTTGTATATATCATTTTAAAGAGAATTTATTACTGAATTCAATACAAAACACAAAATTCAATTATTTGCAATACAAAAAAAGTTAAAACGATAATAGTTATCGATATACATTACATAGTAATGATTGCAGTGAGTAATCAGTACTTAGTAGGGTACCCTTTATTTTTGATTACAGCTTCACATCGACATTTCATTGAGCTGACAAGAGTTTTAAGCTCTTCTTTCGTTATCACATGACGCCAGGAAACAATATTAGCCTCAATTAGTTCCCTTTTATTTGATGGGCGCCTCATTCGGACAAGAGATTTCAAACGGTGCCACAAATTTTCGATAGGATTGAGGTCAGGACTGCTTCCTGGCCATGACAACAATTTAATGCTCTTTGTACGAAACCACTCTTTCGATATTTTGGCCGTGTGGCAAGGAGCAGAATCCTGCTGAAAAATAAACGAAGCATTGTTGGGAAAGAGATCTCTGATGGAAGGTAGAAGTTTTGGTTCTAGAATAGTGTCAATGTATTTTCTGGCATTCAGTGTCCCATCGATGACATGAAGGCGACCAATACCATCTTCTGACATGCATTATCAAATCATAACACTAACTGGATGCTTCACTGCTGCTTTTAAGCAGTCAGGATGTAGCTCTCTTCTCCTATTCTACGTGTTATATATTTTCGCCCATCACTACCGAATAACGGTATCTTAGTTTCATCACTCCATATAACTTGTGACCACTGATCATCTGTCCAATTAATGTGTTCCTTTGCTCACTGTAGTCTTTTTTTTTTTTTTTTTTTTTTCGTTGCTGAAAATTAAGATAAGGCTTTTTTTCGTGGAATTCTACCTCTCAGTCCAACATCTGTTAATCTTCTCCTGATTGTTCTTGAACTCACAGAAACACCAGCATCATTCAGATCACTTCTGATGGCCGCTGATGACATTTTTCTATCTTGGAGACATAGTCTTTTTATTCTTCTGTCATCAATAGATGTGGTGCACCTTTTTCGGCCTTTTCCTTCTTTGTTTTTTATTGAATTTGTCTCCTGATATCGTAAACAAAACTTTCGGACTCCAGATGTAGTCACTGAACCACCCACCTGTCTTGCAATTTCAGCATAGGAAAGACCACTTTCTCTTAACACAATAATATTACAACTCTTTCTAGGTGTCCAATCTACTCTTTTATTTGATGTCATTGCTTCTTGACTAAATATTAAAAATTTTTACAAAAATTCCTACTTGTAATTGCAGTGTATAAGAAGCAGGTCCTCCTTCTACAGAACAAAGCAAAATAATTAATTGTTTCAAGTGTAAACATTTCTACTGGCAGTTACTAACATTTGATTGGTTCTCAGAACAAGAACAGTGATAGGCCAGGAAAGCTAGACATTACAAACCACTTCATAACTGTGTTTTTTATTTATATTAAAGTACATATAGCCTTTTTTTATTTCAAATAATTGAATTTTGTGTTTTGTATTGAATTCAGTAATGAATTCTCTTTAAAATGATATATACAAGTTTGCATTTTGCGAAACGTAACATTTTCTATAAGCATACAAAGTTCAAAAACATAAAAATTTCCAAAAGTGTCCACAATTTTGGCCACCACTGTATATTAATATACATACTATTTAATCACTACATTAATGCTTCTGATTCCGCATCTTTGTATGCTTTCGTCCTTCCGCTCCATTCTTTCTCTTTGACGGCAAAGTTACCATTCTCAAACTTCTGAAACCACTCACGACAACTTCTTTCATGTAAGGCAGTCTCACCGTATGCTTCTACTAGCAACTGATGCACCTCAGCTGCAGAATTCTACAACTTACAGAAGTGTATCAAAAGTTCCCTCAAATGACACTCCTTCAGCTCAAAAGTCAACATTTTTGTATGAAAAAATGTATGATGCTGATACAAAATAGTTAATATTCCAAAGTTATGTTGTTAGCACATGTCCAACCTTACAATATAATGTTTTACATCAGACAATTTTAACTATAACTAACTGGTGGTGCCATTTTCTTTCAAACGGGAGAAACTTATTTGTACTCCCAATAACACATCACAACCACCC